ATCTATTCAAAATATACTTGAATCTTGCAAATAAAATAATGTTTCGTTGATAGAATTGAAGAAGATATGATAAGAAAACCCTGAATTTTGGACCTATATCCTTTAAAAAAATTATAGGGTCAAATATTGTGTCTTTTTCCTAAGCATTTCTTAGTGAGACATTTTGTACACATGGGTATGCCCATCCTAATTTTTATTTTTCTTTAACTTTTGATTAAAAATTTCAAAGGGTTTATTCCCTTTATTTAAAAAAACATACAACTTCCATATTATGTTCTTAAAAAATTCAATGACATTCTAGGAACTTGCAACATCGAATCTATAATACTTCAATTAGCTAGTCTAAAAATGCTCCCTTTTAATGTGAAAACCATGTTACAACATGCTAGTTATATTATGCTTTTATGACTTTATGTAACCCACCCAGTGATGGACCCGGATTTTTTTTTTCAAACGGTGGCACCATTTGACTATAAGAAAAAAATATAGGAATTTTTTTTTTCATATGGTGACACCGTTTGACTATAAGAAACAAATATACGAAATATTTTTTCAAACGGTGGCACCGTTTGACTAAGAAAATGATACTAACATGATTTGGACTTGGGTGTGGGGTGGAATAAAAGCTTTGCAAACCAACTTTACCAAATAAAACTTGTTCTCATTGTAGTTTCAAAATACATACGGTGGCACACAACAAATTAATACGATTGCACCGTTCACGAAACCTAATTTTTTTACCCTTCGGCGGAGAAATAATACGGTGGCATGTGCCACCTATACCACATACATAGGTCCGTCCATGAACCCACCAATAGTTCGAGCATGAAATTTTGCAAAACTCAACTAAACTTAGACCAAAGAGAGAAAATAATGTCACAAATTTAACCAAAAATTTGGTCATTGCTGGGAAATGAGTGAGTCTTTGCTTATTGATTAGTTATAAAATTCTTATGCTAAAAGAGCTTTTAAGCCACTTTTAGGAATCGAATAAGCAATCAGAAAGAATGGTACCTATCAAACAAGCCGGATCTAGAAATTAGGTGACTAGGGTTATACCTAGGAGAATTAGAAATTTTTCAAAGCCAAATAACCCCCACGCAAACTAAATAAGTTTCGGGTTATTTGGCTTTCAAGTTAAACAATTTGTTTAAGTTATTCTAGCTTTTCCTGTTTAGATTAAAGTGAATTACAAATTATACCATAATGTTATATATTTTAGTTCTAGATTATTGGTTGGAGGCTTTTGCATTAGCATATAAAACAATTAAGATATGATGAACCGTTTTATATATATTAGAAGAGTACTCGTGCAATGCAACGATATACATATTGATTTTAATATTTCATTTTTTTTCTTTATCTCAATTGATGTTATAATATGGTCTTATGTGATTTTGAAAAATGGGTGATGTTTTTATTTTTGAATAAAATATAAATTTGTAGATATCATAAAAATTTGAAAAAATATATCGATATTATTATCAAAATAACTATTTAAAATTCCTATTTTTTGTGTAATTTTTTCATTCAATTTTTTTATTATAATTTAATTCATGTTCAATAACGAAATAATTTATATTTTGTTTAATAATATAATTTTCTTATAAAAATAAGAATTAATTATTTTGCTATAACTCGATAATTATTCTAATTATATTTTAGATTTTTTATATTTTAAAATGAGATGTTTATCCTTTATTTGGTTATGTCTATCCATAGTTAGTTACATGAATTCAAACATGAAGCTTTAATAAGTTGAACGTATGCATAATTTACTTGTAATCTTGAATTTTAAGTAATATGCATCAATATACAATATTTTATGCATAAAAATGATTTTTAAAAGTTTATGTCAAATGCTTTATAATATAGTATAGATTAAAGATAAAATAATAATATATTGAGATTGATTTAATAAATGAATACATTAAAATTGAATATTAAGATGTCTAATATTAAAAAAGATTTAGCAAAACAATACACGAGATTTTGAGATAGATTAGTCCAATTAAATCGAGAAGGAATAGAATGAACTCATCAAACAATAATTGCTTAATGAAAAGAAAGTTAAAATAATCAACGAATTTAGAGGGTAACGTTCAATAAACCAAAGTTGGTTACTATACCTCATCGGCATTCCGGTGGGCACATGAATTGAACCGGCCACAAACGGATATGATGGTGAAAGTTAATTTCTGAGCTTTACATACTAATAACATATTATAGAAAAAACTAAATAAAATAACAGTAAAACACAAAGAAAAATAAATTTGTAGTTCTCATTAATCATATCATACGCCTTTTAAATAGGGATGAGTTTACAAATAAAAAAGAACATTCATTATCTAGAAAGTATTCTTTCATCTCACTTCATTTTGATGATGACACGTAATCCTTCGATACTTCACAACTTTTATTCAATCTTTTTGCATACCTCAATTTTTACTACAACATTTTGTAGTCTTCGTGCTCACTTTGGATGCCATTCTTCAAGCCCCCTGTTACTAACCCAACAACATTTGACTTAACGAACCATAGATGGTATCCATAGATCCAAAAATATCAAACTAAAACCATAAGGATGGTGCCTGATTGGTTTGAGTTTGAGCTCCAGAGGTCAAAGTACCTGGAGGTCTTAGGTTCAAATTCAATGAGGAATAAAAATCCTCTTGTGGCCACGGAGCTTCAAATGCAGTGACTTCGGACTACCTGCAAAACAAGTGGTCGTCCTGAGATTAGTCGGCATGCATAACGGGTTGGATATCCAGGTTAATCAAAAAAAATATCAAACTAATATCCCAAGCGAATGATTAAACCAGGGCCGTCCCTAGGGTGGGACAAGTTGGATGCACGCTCATGTCCCATAAAAAATAGGGACCCAATTTTTATAGTTTATATAGTAACAGGTCAAAAAAATTGGTAAATAAAAGAGAGAAAATCTATTTTAGTATCTAACACGACCCAAAAAGAATTTAATATTATATTAAGAGTACAAACATGTTAGTTAATTACATTGGAGATTAATATATATATATATATATATATATATAAAAGTTAATTGGTTGTTCATTTTATATTATTACTTATTGTTTATGTAAGTTATTTATCTAGTACCAATTATAAAACTACTTGCCAAGATATACTCTCCATTATTCAGCTACCACTGACTCTTTTCATTATTCCATTTGCGTCAATTCTATTTTTATATTAGAATATAGTATATTTCTTGTTATTAACTAAAAAAACTTCTATCTTTTGAAAAAAATAATCAACCGTATGACACGGTCCAACTTATATCAACATCTAGGATTTCATAAATATTATTTTTTTCATACATTATTGATTCTTTATTACCTAACATTGAGTGCATAAATCTTATATATGCTTCTATCTCTAATACAAGAATAAGATCTCAAGTTATAACCAATATGGTCCTTGATTCTAAGATTAATTGACGGTTCCCAAAAAAGTTTGTTTTAATCCTAAAGTTTAAAATGGTGACGAAAAACTTAACAATCATCATAATGTGACATGGAAACTCAACTGATTTATATTGATTTACATATGGTATTATTACTCCAAATGGTCAACAATATTGTGCCCAAATCATATCAATCTATATGACTATATCAAACGTATATCATACGTATGTTTTTACAGTGGAACGGATGGACCATTGTAAAAATTATATGGTAGATAATACTGATTTATAAATAACTATTGATTGATTTTCACTACTAGAAAACCAGGTATCAGCGACGAACATCAGCGAGGGAAAACATCCCTCGCAAATCAGCGAGGGATTAGCGAGGAAAATACCAAAAATACATTCCCTCGCTGATCTGTGAGGGATCAGCGAGGGAATAAGTTTTTGGGCAATTCCCTCGCTGATCCCTCGCTGATCTGCGAGGGATGTTTTCCCTCGCTGATCCCTCACAGATCAGCGAGGGATCAGCAAGGGTAGAAGAGGAACTGGAGACCGAACGGAAGGATATGGCAGATTTGGAGGCTAGACAAGCTGCTGCATTAGCCCAACATGTTGTTGAACAGGCCAGACAAGCTGCTGCATTAGCCCAACAGGCAGCATTATCGGAGCATTTTGCTGCGTTTATGCGGCAGTCAGGATACGTTTTCCCACATCCCCCAGATCCCGATAGTTAGGTTGTATGTATTCGAAGATTAAATTGTATGAATTGAATATTTTAAATTGTATGAATCCATATTTTAAATCGTATGAATTGGTTAC